TCATTTGCCTTAAAGGATCTCAAGGATGTTACTTTTTATTCGGTCTATTTTATTTGTTCCTCTTGGAGTATTTTTAGATTTAGGGACCTCTAAAAACTTTGTTTTCCTCTGCGGTTTGTGGCTGGTAGCCCACAGGCCTGATGGTTATGGGACACAGGTTTTGTGATCAATGCTGCTCTCATCCCAAACAAATCCTGGTTGTGCTGTAAGCCATTTTAAACACATTATTCCTTCTAATCTTCCAGCCTCAGTTTATTATGTTTGTTTTTTAGGTCTACATGGATTTTACCATATTTTTATCTAGCTAAATGTAATGCTTATGTTTTACTGAGTAAAAACATAAGCATTACATTTAGCTAAATAAAAATATTTTTCATTGTTTATTCATCATTTCTACTAACTTGCATTTTTTGAAAAACCCATGCTTCTGTGTTTCTTCTTTCTTGTAACATTTTGGCAGTTTCCAGGGGCATAAACAGAGTACTCTGTGCCCAAGGCAAATCTCTCAAATGGGTGACCCATTGGTTGAAAGAGCTCAGCTACTGAGCCCTCTCCTCAGTCTGTGGCAATTCAGGGCAGGTAGAAAGAGGGAAGAGACGGAGATAATGTAGCTTTGACCCTATAATTGCTGGAGCAGTGGACCTGAGTCTTCCCTCATTTTTTAGTCTTGTAAAGTATTCTTTCCCTGACTCAGGAAGGGGGAAGAAAAGGCCAGTGACAGTCATGGCACTACTGTTGACTAAGGTGGGGGCTGATTTAGAGTTGAAAGTGACTGTGAAGAAGGTAGCACAGCTGCAGCACCTCCTCCCTAGCCATCCCACAACTGTCACACTTGCCTTTATCAAGCCCAAATTAAATATCTCCAATTTCCACAGTAGCTAAGTACAAGTAGGAATAGATCACTGCTGCAAATTCCACTCAAGTTGCACCCTTTGCTGCCTGGCTCCTAGGAAACCTTTGGGGTCCCATCAAGACGCCTCTAGTGTCATACAACTCTCTTCAGCAGCAGGTTCAGTCATGGCTGCAAAGATCTTCCTGACCATCAGACAGCAGCAAAGAAAGATAACTATTTTTACAGTTATCTTGGGGTCATCTGGATTTTTGCAGCCCTGTTATGATATCCCTATATTGAGGTTCCTACCCCACAATTTCTCTTAACAGGGAAAAATCTAGGGGCTATAGTTGCACAGACAAGGGGAATGCTGTATTGCTTGGGGACCACAAAGCAGCTGCCTTCCTTGTTATGATTTATACAAGCCTGCATTTATCTAAGTGGAAAACAGAACATTCCAGTACCATCTTTGGTTAACAAGTGCTGTTTATCAAAAAGAGGAATCAAATTTATTGTACTAATTAATATTTTAAAATTGATGACAAGCATTGCCACAACATGATTATATGTGACAGAGAGAGATATTCTATGTATGTGGGCTATTAGAGGGATGCATTTTGCACAGGCTATTGTTGGATAAATAAACATCCCCCTGAGTTTCAGCCAGGACTCATCTGCCTTGGTCTGCTTACGTGAGGGTTGTCTCAATGACTGTATTTGGTCTGCGAGTATTTGTAACAAGAACATATTTTCCATAAAGTATCACACACTAGCGTATGTTTCGCTGCATTGTGAATCAGTATAGTTTATATAAAATAATAAAGTTTATATAAATATATACATATAAATATTTATAGTTTATATAAAAATAATCTATATTTATCTTGGTGTGGGCCTTGTTGGGTATACAATTATAGATATATAGAATTTAAGCTGCAGTTTCTGCTAACTGATGGGCAGTTCATAAAAAAATGAAACAGAACACTGTTTAAATTAATTACCACAAAGTGACTAATGATATAATGAAGCCTTGCTGTCTTGTCTTGACTCAAGAGCTCATAGGATATTGGATGCCTTCTGGGGAAAGTGGGTAGGACACTGTATTCCCCAAATGGTGACATCTGACTGATTAGCATCATTGTATAATCAGCAACAGGAAGTTTTGATTTTCATAATCTAATTGATGACTGGGTTAATTGTGTTGTGCAAATTTGATAATATACCCTACACTGAACCCAGAACAATTGTTAAGAATAGATAACTAGTAGTCCTAGGTCACATATACATGGGCATTCTTGGAGGGGCAGATGGAGTAAATGTGAGTTGGGAGGATGCCATAATTAACTTTAATGCAGCTTTAATACAGACTTGTGGTGCATGTCATGCTGTAAGTACCTCATTTTGGCATTTGTGGAATGACATCATAATGTGTATGTTGTCATTTGGTATCATTATGTTCCTGCACATGTGATCTCCATGTAGACTTTGGCTGTTACAAGTTAAGATACTTAGTAAAGGTGATCTGCCCTTTTTCTTGTAGCTTTTTTCATAATGGGAAAGTCTGAAAAGTGTTGGAGAGACAAAAGGGGTTGCCCAAGAGAAAGAGTAGTCAGAAATAAAAATAGTGTCCTATACACTTTTGACTCCTGCCCCAATTATTACTTGCTTTAACCCAAAACACTGATAGGTGTTCCCCCAACAGATTATCTCTGAAAAAATGTGGTCCTATATCAGTTGCATCTGCTATTTACTTCATGATCACCAGTCAGATTTCCCTAGTCCAATTCCAGCAATATATGTCCTAGCTCATTGGGGATAACTTATATTCATTATAATTGCTGCCTAAACTGAGTTTTAAAAATGCATTTGGTTGACTGAGATTTTATAATTAATTCAATACATGCAAAAGACCTGTAGTCTGGAGTTTTAAGAATAAAAGAGGTAACTTGACTAAATCCAAACATTTCCTTCCTACAAGAGAAGGGGCACTTCTAGCTAATGCACAGGTGCTTTCAAGTAAATGGTTCACTGCACTGGTATTTATCATCCCCACTTCAGCAAATTTATTGGAAAATTAGGGAGCCTTATAGATGGCTACCACCACTATTACCACACCCAGCTCTTGAAGGAAAAAACAGAAGTAAAGGTTCTGTAAGAAGTAAAGCTTTGTCAGAAAAAAAGTCATAATATTATTTTATTAAATTTTAACATTTATGCCATTTAATTTTAATAGAAAATGATCAAGTTCTGTTTATATTTTTAATTATTTATGCAAATGTGTCTTTATTATGTGACTATGCAAATAAAAAAGCCATCAGCAATACAGCCTTACAATATCTTAATGAGAAGATACCATCACTGCAATGCTACAAACTTGACAGAAAATAGCATACTGGTAATTAGGAATAAATTAACTAAATTAGTAATGAGAAATGCATACATAGTTAAAACACTGTAGCGAAAACATACTTAAGTAGATAGCTTAAGGATAAATCAAGAAGTACCACCTATGCTTAAGAAATGTGATTATGTTGTAGGGGGTGTCAACTGCAACTCTCTGGCTCATTTCTACTTTGTTACATTCACTGAAGGAACATTTAAAGTTATAGAAAGCAGGACCAGTTCCTTGTAGGCAAATTAACCCCATTTTAGGTATTTCAACGCTACCAGCCCTTTGCTTAAAAAAAAAAAAAAAAAAGATGCTGGTTGTGCATTATGGAAAAAAGTTCAATTATTTTCATATCCCTTGATAGCACTAAGATTGTGTACTATCTGAAAATCATCAACTGAAATATGAATCTAAGGTATAAAAAATATAGCATACAAAAAAATGGTTTCAAGTTTGTATATAATTTCCTTTCTGGATCAACAAACAAGAACATAGGGGTTGTAAAAATTAAGAATACATTAACAAATTTAACTGTTTATAATATTTTGAAGGCCAGCAAAATGAAATGTCTTCTTCACATAAATACATAAACTTAAGGAATTCATTGCACTAGAAGTAGACTAATTAGTTGACATCACTTCTTATTCAAATTATTGGCTAACTTGTCCCACTGATTTCATGTCTTTAACCCGTTATCATAAAAGCAACCAATGGTTATTTTATATAGCTTATTACTTGTTTCTTATAAACAATTTCATTTCATATGATGTCATCAACAGGTTTCTATATGAAATTTCCAGTAGAGAGACAGTAGAATTCTGTGTGCCAGATATTAAGGACACTGTCAGAGGATCATTATGTCAATAAAATTTTACATTTGCCTAATTTTGCAGTAAAATATCTTATGTGGACTTTTTTTCCTACTCAGTCTCTTAAATGGACTAGTTTCCATAAAGAAAACCAACTGGATTTTCTATGCTTCTTCCAGAATTCAAATCTCACATACCAGCAGGAGTGAGGTTACAGAGAAATTATTTTATCCTGAATGATTTAATTAATCTTCAGGAAAACAATTACGGAAGCATCCACAGACATCCCACAACCAACTAGAATATTCTGTTCTCAGTCGTGCCAAGTTTACTGTTTAGAGTGTTACCAATGTCTTTAATGACAATGTTGCCTGAGAGAGAGATAATTGTCAGTGAACTTTCTTGGACACAGAGGACAACAAGTAGGCCCTTCCCCCCCACAAAATGATAACCACCCATTTTTGGTTCTGTTGATATTAATTAATTGACAGTTAAAAGGTTATCAGGATATACATTCCACAGTGGAAGTCCAAAGAACCACTTTGACAGTAATTTTCAGCATAACTAAATTGCATTATGGTGCTAATGATCAACATTAGCATTCTATCCTGATCATTAATAATTATGTAATTTTGAGTAATATTCGCTAAGATAGAGTTTTGAAACCAGCATTTGAAAGTACTGTTAAAACTACTTTAGAAATATATTACATTTTAAAAAAAATATTTTCTAGTTCTTCAGAAAATGAAGCAATTCATGCATATATACATACACACACACATACACACACACACATATAGCATGGATATAGCTATTATCTTATCATTCATAAAATAAGTAATCCCAGTTTTGAGAAAGAATGGTTAGGATCTTTTTGTTTCTTGCTTTGCATGAAGGAAAATCAAGACAGACAAAAACTCCAAATCACCATCCTGACAGTACTGATTGTTCTTAAGGTGTACATTATTACCTGCAGGAGTTTCCATCTTCCATTCAGGTCTTCTAATCGGTTGAGCGTATATGGAGACAGTGGAATCTCAGATGTGGTAAACTGATGAGCTAAGTCATTCATGTTGTTCACATTCTCTTTAAGAGGTGCAATTTCTGCTTGGTAAACCTGTGTAAAGTAACCAAGGTAAAGTTAGGATGCTATAGATGCAATAAAATCACTATGTAAAACAAAAGAAAACCCTATGGTTTCTGCAAATTAGGGCCAGACTACATAGTCAGTTTTTGGATACAGAGTACGAAGATATTTGTTGTGTTCCTCTAGTACTAGTACTCTAGTTCATAGTCCCACATGAACCTCTACATATTAGCTATACAATAATTGCTGGTATTGCTTCATTGAAAATACAGGGTAAATATGTTTTAGTAGAAGGCCAAACAAAAAAGCTTTTCAAATATTTAAGAGGCCATCAAAAAGGGAGAAAAAGGGGAGGCTGCCATATTCTTAATGGCATTGTAAGAGCTTAGAAGGCCTTGCAACTCCTTAGCCCCCTGCAGATTTTATGTAGCAGGGTTCCTCAACCTCAGCAACTTTAAGATGGGTGGACTTCAACTCCCAGAATTCCCCAGCCACCAGGGCTGGCTGGGGAATTCTGGTAGTTGAA